CCCTGCCCCTCCTCATCCCTGCCTGCAAGCCCCACCGGGTCCACCCACAATCACCTTGTCCAGGGCGAGGGGCGCACAGCTCAGCCCTCCTGGGGCAGACTTAAGATGCCCGCCCCGCCTCCCATCCCATCCTGGCTCTGGTGCCAGTTCCCCACCTCCTCCCCATCCCCTGCTTCTGCTCCGTCTTCCTGTTTGAGGGCCACTGTAGTGCGAGAACCCTCGGTGGGCATGCCTGTCCTTGGCCTCCTCTGCCGAGTGACTCTGGGTCAGACGCTCTGTCTCTCAGCACGTGGGCCCAGGCTTTGTGGGGCAGAGGCAGACATACAGAACCCAGCCCACGTAGCCAAACCCACAGGGTGGCCTGAGCGCCAAACGCAGGCAAGGGGAAAACACACCTTCCATGTCACCATCCCTCTTAGAGTGACGGCTGTCACCCCAAAAAAGTCCCTCAAAAGTCTTCACCAGGAGTAAGCGGAGGGGGACCAGGGTGCTTCTGAGTTTTTTCCCCATGTCCCCTCTTCCTTCCTGTTCGGAAGTGGATACAGGCCCCTTGATGCTACCTGGGCTGCCACGATGGCTGGCTAGTTGTCTTATTGTCTGAGTACTCCGACTCCACATCCCTTCTGCACAGGGCATCAGTGTGGTCTTTTAAATTTTTTTTTCTTCTTTTTCTTTTTAAGAGACAGGGTTTCACTCTGTTGCCTAGGCTAGAGAGCAGTGATGCAATCACAGCTCAATGTAACCTCAAACTTCTGGGCTCAAGCAATCCTCCTGAGTAGCCAGGACTATGGCTGGCTGTTTTAATTTTTTTTTTTCTTTTTGTAGAGACAGGGTTTATCTATGTTGTCTAGGCTAGTCTTGAACTCCTGGCCTCAAGTGATCCTCCCGCCTCAGTATCCCAAAGTGCTGGGGTTATGGGCATGAGCTGTACTCAGCCTCAGAATGATCTTTATAAAATACATCTCTTTGCTATAGCCAATGCTCTCCTGACCTAATTGCTGACTGCTACCTGACGCAGCGTTCTAGAATTTCTAGAACGTTCCAGCGTACCCAGAAGCATTCTAGAATTCCCCCGCCAGGGGAGCTACCTCCCCTAGTTTCCTACTCCTCACCACCCTGCTCTTTCACATCCTTGCTGGGCTACTGTTTTGTAGGTGTGCCCCCCACCCAAGTCCCACAGTCAGTGAAAGGACCCAGCTTAAACCAAGGAGCGGGCTGACTTACAAGACAGGTTTCTGCCGGGCAGAGCCGCCTGCCTCCCCACTGGGAGTGGGGGCCGGGGAGACCAGAGGGCTAGTCTCCGGCCCCAGCCCGTGGCCCAGGATATCGTGGGGGTCGTGCTCAAGGGTCAGCTGGAGCAGGCGGCTGGTTTCCTGGATCAGCAGATCAATCTGGAGAGAGCAAGTGTGTGAACAGGGGCGACCGCCATGGTGGCTATGAGGGGAGGGGTCAGGTCTGAGGGCACCACCTTCAATGCTGCCCCTGGACGTGGACCATACCTCGTCCAGGGGCACATTCCGGATGGGCGTGCCATTGATCTCCAGGATCCGATCTCCGACATGGATGGAATTCTTCACATCTGGGCTCATGCAGCCTGGGTCCACTCTGTGGGTAGAGCAGTGGTCAGGTCGGTGCCGGCCTGTCCCCCGGAGGCCCAACAGGAAACCAGAGCCAAGGGAAACAGATGGAGGGTGAGGAGGCCGAGGAGTCTGCCTTGTGACCGGGAGGCAACAATGATCCGGAACACACAGTTCTGATTTGGTGGGATGAATTCTGTAACCGATGACTAGCATCCGCCACAGGTGTGAACTGAAGAAAGGCAGCAGACCTATAGGTGCTGGCTACCCCACACTAGAGGCTCAGCTGACCGTCTGCACCACGGGGGCAGATCTGCCCCAGACGGGCATGCCCAAAAGGTCTAGCAATGCTGTCTTCCTACTCGACTCCCAAACCTGCCCTCCAAGAGGAGGCCAAGCTCCCATTCCTCCTGACCTGGCAAGGAGGGCTACCGGCCTGCCTCGAGTCACAGTTGCAGGGTGAAGACTGCAAAGACACGATGGGTTGCCATGAGCTAACTCACAAAAAGGCCAACTTGCCAGATTTGCTTGTTTCTTTGAACTCTTTGGTGTTAGTGACCCAGTTTTCATTTTGTCTTGTAAAAGATTTTTAGGAAATGTTCACCTTGTCTCTGCCCTAGCTCCCTGGGATAGAGAAGGGGTGAGGGTAAGGCAGAGAGGGGCCTTTAAGAAAAACAGATCCGCCAGGCTCGGTGGCTCAGCCTGTCATCCCGCGCCTTTGGGCGGCTGAGGTGAGTGGATTGCCTGAGCCCGCGGGTTCGAGACCCGCCTGGGCAGCGAGACCTCATCTCCACAATAAATCAAAAAATCAGCCGGGCGTGGTAGCGCACGCCTGTAATTCCGGCTACTCGGAAGGCTGAGGCGGAAGGATCGCCGGAGCCCGGCAGGTCAAGGCTGTGGTGGCCGGGAGCGGCCACTGCACTCCAGTCTGGGTGACAGAGTGAGACTCCAACTCAAAAAAACAAAACAACAGCAACAACAAACAAACAGATCCATAAACGTTCTTCATTATCAAGACTATGTTCTCATACAGGGGAGAAGCTCTTCCTTATGCAGAAGGCCAACTAAGAAATGCAGCAAAAAAGAACAGCAAAAAATTACCATTTTGTAGCCATCACAGCAAGAACTGCTACAGAAAATCATTAGTGGGTGCTAAAGCCACTTGGCGAAAGGCTTTTGGGAATAGGATATTTACAGAGTCAAATCTCACAAATGGTTTATCGATTACAAAGGGAAAAAAAATCCTTTACAGTAGAGAAAACTAACCAAGTAATCAAAGCTAGTATCCCCAGTAAAGGGCACACTGACATCATATGTCTCCCGGCAAGATGCACTTGGAAGGACACGGCACCACTTAGGCGGCGTCAGCCCAGACACGCGGAACCTAGATCTCATGAAGAGGACAGGCACCTCTGCCAAACCCAGATGGAGAGACATTTTACTTAACGACTGGCCCGAACACTTCAAAACGTCAAGCTCATGAAGGGCAAGGGCGGAGGAGCTGTTACAGATGAAGAGAGACTGAAGAGACAGGACGATGAAACGCAGTGTGTGATCACGGAGTGGATCCTGGGTTAGGGGAAACTGCTATAAAGGATGGTATTGAGACAACTGGCAAAATCTGAATATGAACTGTGTGTTAGATATTGGTATCAGCTGGTACAGTGGCTTACGCCTATAATCCCAGCACCTAGGGAGGCTGAGGCAGAGGATTACCTGAGCCCAGGAGTTCGAGGCCAGCCTGGGCCACGTAGCAAGACCTCATATCTACAATAAATAAAAAATGAGCCAGACGTAGTGGTACATGCTTGTAGTCCCAGCTGCTTGGAAGGCTGAGGCAGAAGGATCGCCTGAGCCCAGCAGGTTGAGGTTGCGGTGGCCGTGAGTATGCTACGGCACTCCATCCTGGGAGACGGAGCAAGACTCCGACTCAGAAATGAAAAAAGTATCGACGTTAAATTTCCTAAATGAGATCACTGTACTATAAGACACAACGGACGATTCTGTGAGAGAATGCCCTTGTTGTCAGAAGAATGTCTAAAGTGCTTGGGGGAATGTCAAGGATGTCTACAACTTACTCTCAAATGATCAGCAAATAAAACGATATGAATATATGAGAGGCAACCCCCCCAAGCCGGAATTTATTTATAAAAAATTGTGCATTTACTCTTACATGTTTAAACTTCAGTTACCTTCTAAGTACTTTCCGTTTGATGCAATACACCTATTGAGACGCTTTTTCCACTGCTCAAAACCGTTTCTGTCCTCGTCAGTTTTGATGCCATTTAGTGCTTCTGTCATTTTTTGTTTCACCTATTCCACACTGTCAAAACATTTCCCTTTGAGGACTTTTTTCTTCTGAGGAAACAAAAACAGTTGCTCGGGGGGGGAGATGGGGTGAAGAGGGAGACAGAGGCAAGGGGGGTCATGCCGTTTCTGGCCAAAAACTACTAAACACTCAGTGCGGTGTGGCCAGGTGTGCTCATAAGTCACCCATCATGAAATGGGCAAATATGCTGAAAGAATATATAAAAAAAAAAAATCACTAAAGCTGAACACTGCTAGCTGGTACACTCATGCTGATGGGTTCCTAGAACACTTACGTAGCAGGGGAAGCCTGCACTCTACGGGGCCTGCCCTCCAAAAGATAATTCTGGATTTTGGGGTCCCGCCTCGTATATGTGGATGTACAGATAGAAGCAAGTCACTATACTCATGTATGTACCTATATCCATATACACATGAATAGAGGGAAACACACATAAAGCTCCCAAATGTGGCCAAAAGTTAAAAACTGGTGAACATAAGTGAAGGGTAATAGGCATGCAACGTATTTATTATTTTAGCAAATATTTGTAAGCTTAAAAGATTTCAAGATCAAAAGTTGAAAAAGCAAAGAACATATTTTCACTGACACAGGCCTCGCATGGATCTGGCCTTGAAGATATGCTCCTTAAACCCTCTCTGCGTCCCCTCCCTCAGTCTCCTGCTAAGGTAGCAGGGGCTGGGGCCCGGATAAATTAAACTTTCCTCAGAATGCTACTATAAACAGAATGAAAAGTGGTCAACCAAAACTAGTTGAAAACAAACAAATCTTTGGCAAGTTGGGCTGCTTCCAAGAAGGGCGTGGCTCTTGGCAGAAATTACTGGGATGTTCCAGATGTGGCTGAAAGGAATGCTTATCTAGTGAGGCAGACAGGGAGGAGTCGTCACTGACTCTCTTCCTTTCTAAACCTGTCTGGTTTTCAGGGACCAGCTAGGACTTCCGCCTTGGGGGCACCTCCCTTGGACGTCTGGTAAGAGCCCTCAGTCTGGGAATGTCCTCATTTCTCACTAGCCTGTCTGTTCTTATATACATAAGGCAGTTGCTGGCCTGGCTGATACCAAGGGGGGTGGAGGCACAGTCAAGCCCCATATCATCTTCCTCCTCCAGTGCCACCTTCCCATCTCATCAAGGCTTACACAGTGCCTGCTACCTGCCAGGTGTGCAAGAAGTATTCCTGGCATCTGGCTTCCATGCTGGCGGGGGGGGAAACACTGAATGCTAACTCTCAAGGTGTCAATGGAGGCTCAGGAGACATCTGAGAAGGCTCCAAGGTGTCCCATTCCCGCATCGTCCAGACAGATCCCAAGGCCCAGAGAGAAGGGAGCTGTTCAAAGTCACCCAGCGAGCTAGCAGCTGGGTGGGCTCCCTAACCTTCACCCCTTCTTGCAGTCCAGACCTTTTCGGCATGCTTGAGAACCATCTGGAGAATCTCCGCTGTCTGCCTTAACATGTCTTTATCTTACCCTCATTCTTGAGGGATATTTTCCTAAAGCAGAACATTCTAGGTTGATGGTGACTTTTGGTCAGTGCATCAAAAACAGCAATTCACTGATTTCTGGTTTTCATTGTTTCTGTTGAGAAATCCACTGTCCATCTAATTGTCCCTTCTTTGAAGATAATCTGTCATTTTTCTATGGCTACTTTTAAGGCATTTTCCTCTGCCTTTGGTATAGTACGGTTTCACTAGAGGTGTCTACGGGTGAATTTCTTTTACCATCTGGGATTTACCAGGCTTAAGTCTGTGGATCAGTGAGTGTCTTTTATCAATTCTGGGCAATTCTCAGCCGTTATATCTTCAAATATTGCCTCTCTCCATTCTCTTTCTCTTCTCCTTCTGGAGTTCCAAATGGATGATTATTAGATCTTCTTAATCTGTCCTCTAAGCAGCTAATCTCTCTTTCACAGTTTTCATTTTTTTGTCTATTTCTCTCCTCAGTTCTTCTAAATCCTACTCTATTATTAAACCTTTTTTCACGAGGCTTTCATTTTAATAATGACATATTTCACTTCTAGGGGCTCTATTTGGTTCTTATCCACATTTATTTGCTCTTCACTCATATGAAAATATTTCTTATTTATTAAAACATATTGAGCATAATTGCTGTACATTGTTTCCGACAATTCCAGTATCAGAAGATTTTGTTGACCTAGTTCTGTTTCCTGTTGTTTCTGCTGGCTCTCACTCATGGTGTCTTGCTTCCTTATATGTTCAGTGATTTTTGACCCAATTGTTTATCCTCCTTAGAATACTTACTAAGTAAACTCAATTTAGACCGGAGAAGACCCCCAGAAAAGACCTGCATCTAATTCTTTCAGTGCCTAGGAGCACTACTGTTGGGGATTACTTTAATATTTTTTGAATTGGAGTCTCACTCTGTGGCTCAGGCTGGAGTGCAGCGGCACACTCATGGCCAAACAGCCTTGACCTGCCAGGCTCAGGTAAATCCTTCTGCCTTAGTCTTCCAAGTAGCTAGAACTACAGGCACATGCCACTAATCATATCCGGTTAATATTTTAAGTTTACTGTAGAGATGAGGTTTTGCCAAGTTGCCCAGGCTGGTCTCTAACCCCTGGGCTCAGGCAATCCTCTCGCCTCTGCCTCCCAAAGTGCTGGCATGACAGGCACGGGCCACCGTGCCTGGCTGGGAACCACTTTAAAGTAAACTTTTTCAATTCTGCCTTGAGGATTTTTGAAGCACCCAGGTATAAGAATTTGGTCTGGAAACCTGAGTTTGCAAATTCTCTGGGGTAATTCCCTTCTCCCCATCTTCCACTCAGGTTCAAAGCAGACAGTTTACTTGTAGTTCTGGGAGTAGGTAGGCTTATGGAAGGTGTGGTTTATTTCTCATTCACCCTCACCCTGAGAGTCTTTTGGGGTCCCAGCTTTCTGGGGCAGGGGGAAGGCAGTTCTCTTGGACTAGCTTCTTTGGTTCCAGCCATGAAAAGACTTGAAAACTGAAGCAATTCAGCTTTGCCTGTAAGCTTAACATTCTGCCGACAGCCGTGGGCTCCTCCTCCTCTAGTTTCTGACCTGGTTACTCCTCTTTCTTGTCAGGTCAAACATGGGCTAGATAAAATGTTGTCATATTCTACCTGGCATTTGTAATGGTTTCCAGAGGACTGACTAGACCGGTATGCTAGGTGGTCAGAATTGGGCTCCATCTGAACCCACTCACCATCCCCAGGGCCCTCGGTTCCGGAGCCTACCACCCACCACATCAATGGCCAGTCATACCAGCTGCAGTCTTGCCAGGCCGACCACTCACCCTTGGACGCGGACGGTGTGGGAGTGCTCAGTGCCGCAGCCCGGCGGGCCGTGAGGTGGATCGATGGAGACGGAGAGGCCACGCTTGCCATGAGATGAGGCTGGGATGGATACTAGGGTGACGGTGTGGGGCAGATGGGAGCCAGGGGAGTCAGGCAGGATCTGCTCGATGACGGGGGTCACCACAGTCTGGTAGTAGCAGTGGCCACTGCAAAAGCCGCCAGCAGCGGGGACCCAAAGAGTGGGAAGAAAAGAGTGTCAAGACAGCTACCAGTATCAGCATCCCTGCAGCCCCCAGCCCCCAGCTCTTTTCCCCTCCCCCTTCTTTCACACCTCCCACAGGAGGATGACGGACTTAGCTGAGTGACGGGCCTGAGGGCAGGACCTGACCATGCCCAGCCAGCCCTTGTCCCTCTGAGTCATTCTGGGTTTGTGTATTCTCTGTGATACGGTGAGAGGGCCAAGACAAGGCCTGGGGATAAATCCGGTTCAAGAGGAAGTCATTAAAAGCCCATTTGGGATCAATCCATGCTGTCTTCTAATCCAGCTTTATCAGTGTTTTAAAAGAACGTGTCTGGTCTTTGTCCTGGTTCCTGGGAGAGAGGCTTTACATGCTTGAAACCTGCATTACTATGAGTCACTTGGACTACACCAGAGTCTGGGGTAATGAGATGACTCAGGTGGGGGGGCGGTCGGCACAACGACCAACCATCTGACTAGATGGTTGGGGCTTTTAGCCAGCCCAACCTCCAAGGAGGGGACAGGAGACTGATTTTAATCATGTGGCCAATGATTTCATCAATCATGACTACATAATGAAACCCCAATAAAAACCCTGGATGCCGAAGCTCAGTGAAGCTTCCTGGTTGGTGAACACACTGATATGCCAGGGGAGGGAGGGAAGGCATCTCTTCGCTTGGTTGGTCCTGAGCTGTATCCCTTATACTAAAACTGTAATCCTAAGCATAGGCTTTCCTGAGTTTTGTGAGTCCTTTAGCAAATTATCAAACTTGACAGGGTCTTGGGAATCCCTGAATCTGTAGCCAGTCGGTCAGAAGCGGGAATGGCCTGGGGTCCCCTGACCTGGCAGGCAGTGGCTGAAGTGGGGGCAGTCTTGCTATGGGCTGTGTCTTTAACTGCGGGGTCTACACCGACTCTGGTGGTTAGTGCCAGCACTGCACTGCAGGCACACCTCAGTAAGAAAGCTGACATCTGAGGCTCTCTGTTTGACTCCTGTGTCTTTTCTCAATCATTTGGGATGTAAAGGGAAGGGAGGTATGAATGTTTGCCCCTCAAACCTCACCACACAGAGGGGGCAAGGGCCCTGGGGTGGGAGAGCCAGTGCCCTTGCAGACTGTGATATGGGTGGGCCCCCTGGTTCAGAGAAGGCTCAAGGCACTCACCAGTACAGCTTGGAGTGCTCCACCAGCGTGTAGGTGTCCCCGTCACCAATGAAGGTCCCACAGGTGAGGCAGATGAAGCACTCGGGGTGGTACTTCAGCTCCCCAGCCACCTGGAGGGGGCAGTGGGGGACCACCCAGCTCAGCAGCCCCTTTGGGCCCGCAGCTCCTCCCTCGGGCTCCTCTCCGAGGGGCAGCCCCAAATGAACTGCAGGGACCTGGCGGGCTCCAAGTGGGGGCTGAGGGATATGAACGAACAGGCTCAGAAAACATGGGAGAAAACGAGAGGCGGCGAAAAGGAGACCAAGAGAAATGGCAGGAGAGAGACCTGGAGCATGTTTGGGAAGATACACGCACGCGCGCGCGCACATATACCCGGAGAGGGTGTGTGAGGGGAGGGGTGCTCACCATGACCAGCCCCTTGGTGATGTGCTCCGAGCACCCGTGGCAGGACTCGCCGTAGCGGGCCCAGTAGTCCTTCTTGCAGAAGAGCTGCCCATCCTTCTCATAGTACTGGTGAGAAAGGGAGGCGCTGCACTCACAACACCTGGAGGAGAGGGGGCGGGGCTGAGGACGGCCCACCCTCCCTCCCACATGGTGGCCTCCTCCGAGGCTCCAGGTGCCCCTTGAGAATTAGAAAAAGAGCCGGGCTCGGTGGCTCAGCCTGTCATCCTGCGCATTAGAAAAGGCTTTGGGAGGCTGAGGTGAGTGAATTGTCTGAGCCCGCGGGTTTGAGACCCGCCTGGGCAACTTGGCGAGACCTCATCTCTACAATAAATCAAAAAAATGAGCCGGGCGTGGTAATGCGTGCCTGTAGTTCCAGCTACTTAGAAAGCTGAGGCGGAAAGATCGCCGGAGCCCAGCAGGTCGAGGCTGCGGTGGCCGGGAGCGGCCACTGCACTCCAGTCTGGGTGACAGAGTGAGACTCCAACTCAAAAAAAAAAAAAAGAATTAGAAAAAGGTGTGCCCTGGGCAGAAGTGGCCTGAGCTGGGCACGAGGTTTGGCGAGTGGCATGAGGCATGGATTCAGCCGCCTTGGCCATCCACAGCAGTTCTGCGCCCAAAGGGTCTGGCCCACCTGCTAGCCCCCTGGGGAAGGGCACTTCTCATTTGAGGCCCTGTTCCTTGTCATGCAAGGAAGATGGTCATCAGCTAGGTGGAGGGAAGAACGGAACCTGTGAGCCCAGAGTTCAGGTGGTGGGGATGGACAGACAGCGGGCCACAGTTCTGGTCCAGTGGCTTCCTCCTCTTCCCAGTTTCCCTGAGCGGCGCGCGGCAGCTCAGGCTTGCCGGCCCTGTGCAAACCTGCGGAGTGCTAGTGTCTCTATATTTTCCTAGACTGACTTACGGGGCAGCCATCATTTCAGATGGGCAGGTGGGCTTCAGAGGGTCTAAACTGCCAGGGTCCCACAGGTGTCTTGTTGCACTAAGACACAAGGAAGCAAACGGCAACACAGACCAGCCAGGATTGCAGTCAGGACAAAGGAGCTCCTGGTTCTCAGACCCCCACAGCCTTACAGGTGCCACCAGCCACAAGAAGGGGCTCAGGGCACAGCTCAGCATACCCCTCTTCCCAAACCAGAGCGTTCATCTCCCCACCTTCCCTCAGAAAAGCAGAAAGCGGCAGAATGCAAAGATGTGCAGGTTGTCGAGGTCACGCCGGGAATTCCCAGGGAGGCCTGGCTGGTGGAGGGTCTCCAGGTGCCACAGCACAGGTCAGGAGTTCAATCTACATGGCCGGCTTCTTCCCACCCAAGCCTTCTGGTGAGGTGGAGACCCGCACTCCTGCGGGGCCAGGATGTGCAAACACAAAAATGCGGGTCCCCCACCGGGTCCTGGTGCAGAGGGGCATGCCTGAGCCAGAGGAAAGCCCCGTGCCAAAAAAGGCTGAGGGGTTGCGGGGGGCGCCCTGTTTGGGGGCTCTGGGCCGCACAGGGACGGGTGGGGTCCAGGATCTGCAGGGCCACCATCCAGGAGAGGCCGGCAGGAGAGATGGGACCTGGGTGAGCCAGCCCCTCCCCCCACAGCGCCGAGGGACCCTCCACCCGCGCAGGGCCTCGCTCGCGGACCACCTGCTGACTGACCGAACTAGGGAATGGGGGCGAGGAGGAGGGGAGGCCGGCCGCCAGGAAGCCGGCAGGACACTGTCCCTTTAAGAGGATCCGACCAGTTCCCCTTTGTCCGGGCCGGGGG